TTCTTTAAGAGGAACTGCTTGGGGATCCAAAAGTTCCTTCTACCAACACAATCCCTGCTGGTTTTTTGCAGCCAGAAGTTGTGGGGACTTATTTTCCTGGTGCTGGAATCCTAGGATAGGGGCTAGGACTCCTCACTCCTGAGATGTCCCTCCTGAATATTTATTCATGTGAATGTGGGATCATTTGTTCCATGACTGTGCCCCTCCTACCAGTCTGGATGGATGTGGTTTCTTTAATTCCATAGTTGTCAGACCTCCATTCAGCTCGATTTCTGACATTCCTGAGTGATAGTTCTTCTATATTTTAGTTGTAATTTTGATGTGGTTTGTGCAAAGAGGCGAGTCATGTCTGCCTATGTTGCCATCTTGACCAGAAGTCCCTGGAGAGCTCTGTGCTCCTACAGCCACAGCCAATTCAGCCCCACTGCATAGCTGAATCCCAGCTTATACAATTTTAATTTCAATAGTACATGAATCCTTTAAACATATATAGCTCTGCTCCCTCCTCACATTGAATCTGTTATGGTCACAAATTATATGTGTATATGTGGCATTCCTCTCGATATAGATTCATATTGATTACATATATGTCTTTTAAATTAGATGCAAGAAAAATAGATTAAACAAAATATACGCTTATACTGTCTTTTATATTTATGTATGTATTTAACTTCACCTTTAATTCTTTGAATTCCTGTCTAGTGCCTTTTTGTTTTACCTAAAGGACTCCCATTAGGATTTTTTTGAGGGCTAAGAATGTCTTCATTTCTGAAGGATAATTTTATCAGATATAAATTTGTTGGTTGACAATTTTTTTGTTTCAGCACTTTGGATATGACATGCCATCCCCTCCCCCACATTTTTGGGGACCTCTATGGTTTCTGGTGAGCATAGAGAGCCCAGAAATAAACCCTCATGTATATGGTCAAATATGCTTAACAAGGGTGTCAAGACCACTCAATTGGGAAAAGAGAGTGGTCTTCTTTTCACTTTTCAACAAGTGATGATGGGAAAATTGGAAATCCACATGCAAAAGAATAAATTTGAATAATTTATCTTACATCATATATAAAAATTAACTCAAAATGGATCAGAGATCTAACTATAAGACCTAAAACTGTAAACCTATTGGTAGAAAACATAGGGGAAAAGCTTCATGACATTAGATTTAGCAATGATTTCTTGCATGTGATACCAAAAACACAGGAAATAATGCAAAAATAGACAAATGGAACCACATCAAATTTTAAAATCCTCTGTGTATTGAATTACATACTCAACAGAGTGAAAAGCAACCTACTGAATGAAAGAAGACATTTACAAAGGATTTAATTGATATAGGGTTAACATCCAGTACATGTAAAGAATTCCTGCAACTCGACAACAACAAAATAATCCAATTTTAAAAATGAGCAAAGGCCTTGTATAGACATTTCTCCAATGGCTAATGGCATATGGAAAGAGGCCCAACATCACTAATCATTAAATACAGGCAAATCAAGTTAAAATAAGATATCACTTCATACCCATTAAGATAGCTATTATTTAAAAAAAGTGTTGGTGAGAATGTGGAGAAATTGAAACCCTTGCACACTGTTGATAGGATGTAAAATGGTGCAGCCAGTATGGAAAACAGTATGGCCATTCCTCAAAAAATTAAAAATAAGATTACCATGTGATCCAGCAATCCTACTTCTGGGTACATATCCAAAAGAACTGAAAGTAGGATCTTGAAAATATATTTGCACAACTATGTTCATTGCAGCATTATTCACAATAGCCAAAGGGTAGAAGCAACCTAATGTCCACTGACAAATGAATGGATAAGCAAAATGTGCATTCATACAACAGGATATTATGTAGCCTTAAAAACAAGGAAATTCTGTCATATTTTATACCATAGATAAATCTTGAGGGCATTATGCTAAGTGAAATAAAGCAGTAACATAAAAGGAAATACAGTATGATTCAACCTCTGTGAAGTATCTAAAGCAGTCAAATGTATAGAAACTGAAAACAGAGTGCTGGGCACCAGGGGCCGTGAGGAGAGGGAAGTGTGGAGTTGTGGTTGAGTGAAAATAGAGGTTTAGGTTTGCAAGATGCACAAGTTCTGGAGATCCATTATGCAATAATGTTAATACACTTAACACTACTAAACCATACACTTACACATGGCAAATATGGTCAATTTTAGGTTGTCTTGTTTTAACCACAGGTTTTAAAACATATGAAGTTTTAAAAAATGAGATAATGAGGCCATGCAGAAGTAGATTGTAGACATCTATTGTTCAAAAGTGAAAAATTTATCCCTGAACCACCCATGTACCTGGTGGAATAGCAACAATAGAATTACAATAATTGTTCCCACTGGGGGACAGCCAGCAGGGACTGATCAGAGCAGTTCTGAGACACGGCTCGGTGGACACTGTGAAATCCCATTCCTGGAGCGGGGGCTCCGATCCTGCTCTCGGGAGGAGCTCCCTTGTCTGGGGCCTCTAGATCTGCCTTCAGCCCTGCTCTTTCTTGTCCATTTCTTCTCCTCAGTCACTCTAGAAGGGGAAGTTGGTGGATGTGCCCTTCTTTGGTGGCTGTCCTTGCTTGTCTCTAGCTCATGGGAGATTCAAAATTTGTTCTCCAGGTAGAACAATTAAAGCTTCTTTCAGTCTTGGCTTCCCATTTTCTTGGTGACATAATTCCCTCGACAAATGACTACTAGGACTATTCTGAAGTATCAGAGTCCTTCCCTACATGCAGCCTTTGCCTCGATCCATGCCTCCCTTTGAGGCTGAGTCTCCCAGGCTTCAGTGGGAACACTGTACTCTAACCTGTTGTCTTCCCGAAGCCGCCCTATCCAACTGAAGGCTTTACGCATGCTTTGTTGTTTAAAACCTCTTTTAAAATCCCACCTCTGCTTGGGATGGTGAAAACAGTTGGATTGTTTAACTCTACAAGGTCCTAAATTTCTGGAGTTCATAGTCCCTTGCCCTCTTGCTTGGAAACTGATCAAATATAGGCCAGAACAAAGCTCAAGGCAGAAGTCAAAGAACTGGCTGGCAATTCCAGCATCCTGACTGGGAGAGAACTGAGGAATATAAGGACCCATACTCATCTGTGTATCCAGGTCTCCTGAGGAACTCATAAAATGGACCAATGGGAAGCGGAGTCTTCCCCCATTTCAATATCCTAAATCAGAATCCTTGGGGATGTACAGATGTTTTTAAAAGGAACTTGGGTGGCTTTAATGCACAGGAAATTTAGGAACTAGTTGATGCACAAAGTGAGTCCATAACCTATGAGCCCACTGATGAAAGATGATTTGCACAAAGTTACCTCAGAATTTATACACCAAACCAGATCCAGATCTCAAAAGCCAGGCCACAGTGTGCAGCTACCTATTATGAACATTTGCCTGGTCCCTAGCTGCAGTAGTCTGAATGATGCCCCCTTCCTGAGGAGGCCCACATCCTAATCCAGTCCCTGGAAACTCTATGTTACCGGACATGGCAAAAGGAACTTTGCAGATGGCCTTAATTCTTCAGATGGCAAGATTGTCCAGGATTATCCAGACAGGCCCAATATAACCACAAATGTTCTTATAAGATGGGGGAAGGAGGATAAGAATCAGAGAGAAGATGTGATGATCAGAGAGAAGGAGGAGGAAGAAGAGGAGGAGGAGAAGGTGGAGGAGGGAGAAAGAGAGAGAGAATATTTAAAGAGGCTTTGAAGATGCAGGAAGGGGGCCTTGAGCTAAGGAATGCAGGAAGCTTTTATAAACTGGAAAAGGCAAGAAAATGAATTCTGCCTTCGAGTCTCCAGAAAGACTTCAGACCTCCAGAACTTAATATAATGTATTTGTATTGATTTCAGTCATTAATTTTATAATAATTTGTTATGTAGCAATAAGAAACTAGTACAGATTTTTGTAACTGTAAGTAGGATGGTGCTGTAACAGTAGAAAAATGTAAAAGTAGCTTTGGAATTTGACAATAGGCAGAGGTTAGAAAAAAAAATTTAGCTTGAGAGAAACAGCCTGGATTTCCCGGAATAGACTGTTGACAACCACAGGAAATGAAAACACTATACTTGGCATTCCCTCCTAAAACAGGGCCTATTGCCAATGTTTGGTGCTCACAATTTTTCATGCAAGGAGCGAGGAATCCCATGCTTAGCTAGTTTCAAAATTTCTTGAAAATGAACAGATGTGACTTGAAAAGGGAATGTGAGCAGGTTATCTGGGGGTTTGAGCACATGGACCACCCCTCTCGTGGCCTCCCCTCCTCCCAGACCCCGGGCTTCAATCTGCCTGGCATTACAGGGCCTGATACTCGCTAAACTGTATGATGATGTCCCGCTGATTTACGCTCTGCTCCTTTAGGACCCCAATTGCCACCTGACTGGTTTTCTCCTTCTTTGATGTGTGTATCATTTTTTTCTACCTCTAGGTATTTGCTTATATTCTTCCTTCTTTTCTTAATGATCTTGTAGTTTCTAAAGAAAAACTCATCTTTCATCAAGGATAAATTCAAGTCACACCCTCTTTATGAAATTCTAATTTAACCATTTTATTGACTGTTATTAAGTCTTTTCCCTGATTTTCCAGTGTCTGCAGTGTCTGTACTACTCCAAGTTGGAGGATTAATTAAGGGAGAGAGATTGGGGGCAGTTGAGGAAGATTATGGGAGAGATTGTTGGCTGGGACCAGAGGCTGTGAGAAAAGAGATTGGGGTGGGGGTCTTGCTAAACAAGTGATAAAGGGAGTTGGGACCTGGGCAGATGGTGTCGGGGGCTGGAGTGGTAATGTCAGAATGCCTGATTGGGGTCTTGCCTTAGAGATTTCTTTATAGGCCTTTAGATGAGCCTATCCATTAGAAAAGGCCAGGGCAATTCACGCTCTGGTTCCTTCCAAACATGAGCCCTGTCTTCTGAAACCATGGCCCTCCCTCATTATCAAACAAACACTCAGCTTTTTAATTTCCTTCAAGAAAACACCAACAGTCAGGTTTTGTACAAAAATATATATATATTGTTCAATAATTATGTCACATACATCTCCACAGTAACACTGTTAGCAGTACCTTAGAATTTAAAACAACAGGTGCCTGCATTAATGATTTTTGCAAGGACCCTCATTCCATTTGAGGGGCAGAACTGAGGTTCACAGAAGAAAGTGATTTGACTAAGTCTCCATATCTAAAACACACAAGTATTCATGGAAAATAGAATTAAAACATACAATAACTTAAATAAGGTTACCATCATTACTTAAGACATCATGTTTCATATACATAAACAAAGTTCATGTTCTTTGAAAATACAATAAAATAATATCAGAGGGCATTTTGGGCAAGTTAGAAGATAATAAATTAGGTCCAGATTCTTGGGTCGTGGGTGAGTGTTCAAGACTTCTTAGTCTCGGTTTTCTTGTCCAGGTACTCTATGGAGTTCTGGACCCAGGCCTCCTTGGGGTCAGCGCAGATCTCCTTGGCCAGTTTGGTCTTGAAACTGTAGGGAGAGAGGGCACAGTGAGACAGAGTTCCACCGAGAAGCCAGCCTGCAAGTAAGGTTTGTTCCGCCCTAAGGAGCTGCCCTGAGAACCAGAGGATGGAGCGGGGAGCCCAGGGCAAGCTGCTTTGACAGGTGTCCCCAGGTGAAGCCATCCTGACTCCTGGCTAAAGAAATTGGAATGGTCTGGATTTGGAGAGTGATGTTGGGAGTGATTTTTTCCCTTGTGACCTCAGTTGTCCTACTGAGCACCTCTGGCTCTCTGACTCTGAGGTCTGAGGCTTATTTTATTTTATTTTATTTTTATTTTTTTTCCCTGAAGAAGGACTAAACCAGGGAAGGCCAGTGTGGTCAACTTACATCACAGCTTGTTTGGGACACTTGCTGCTAGTGACTCTTGTGTAGTTCACCAGCTTCGCCATTGGAATCGTCTTGTGGATGAATGTATAGCAGCAGGTGACTTGGACAGTTGCATCTAGAACAACAAAGAAAAGCCTTTTAGGATGGACTGGATTCTTCTGTTCTTAACCAGAGCACAAAAATGTAGTGAAGAGAAGGCAAAGGGAAATCAGGAGTCTAAGAGGGAGGACCCACTGAATTCTAACAGTTCCACTGACACCACAGAGCTGGAATGTCATACTGACTCAGTTTCCTATGCTGTAAAATGGGTATACAACATTGATAACAGGGGGAAGGGAGAGCTGTTAAAACTACATAATTCCTGAGGATGTCACTAGGGAGAACTAATAATGTAAAATGTCATGGTCAGGGAAGTTCAGGGACTCCAGCTCTGGGTCTCTTTTTGGGCTCCAAGTAATCTATGCCTACTCATGAGTTTCCCTGATACCCACCGCTTCTGCAGAGCCGTGTCTCTGGAAGCTGGACCGAATGAAGCACAGTCCAGACTCTGGGTCTCATTCTCTCCCTTTCACTCTATCTGCATACCCACCACCCAACACCCTGCTCTTTGGTTACCCCAGCCTCCAATCACCTCTGTAAGGAGCTGAGGTGGTAACTGCACTGAGGGTGTGACGCCAGATCTGGAGTCCTAGAAGGAGCCCCATTTGGGGTCCACAGATGGATTTCTTGTCCTGGCTCTTCCCAGGGGCACCTGTGTGCTTAGGCTCACTCCTCATCCTCCTCTGAGTCCCCTGATCTTGTAAAAGCAGTTGTGAAAGTGAGGCTGTGAGTATCCCATTCTGCTCTGATAGCCCACAATCACCCGTGGGGTGATGTGCTTCAAAGGGAAGGGGCTTACCTGGCTGAGCAAGCACCGGGGTGTTCAAGGCAGCCACTGTGAGCAGCAGACACAGAAGTGCTGCGGAGATCTTCATGCTGGAGGGTGAGGATGCAAACTTCAGGGTGGGAGGTATTGGTGTCTGAGCTCCTCTTAGCCTCTCTGCTCCTCTGGCTGCTCTGCCTGCCTTTTATTGAAAAACCAAGTGGGTGGAGCAATACTTGGCCCGGGGTAGCATCCTCCTCAATGAATGACGAAGTGAAATCTTAAATGTGCTGAGGCAAGTGGAGCACCCTGAGCAATTTCCAGGAACAAGGAGAGGAAAGCAGTGGGTTTGGACGGGGCACTTTTCCGGGGGTAGGGAGGGAGGCAATGGGGCACAGTTATATCCAGTGACCACAGACAGGAACCAAGTGGGTTATTCTTAAGGATTCTGCTTTCTCTGAAGTGAAAACTCTGCAGAAAAGAAAGGAAGGAGAGGTCAAGGGGGAAATGAGAACATCTCAGGGCTCGCCCCTGGCCCACCTTCAAAGGTAGTCCAAGGGGCCTTCAGCCAGGAAGGGGCCTGGATGTCTTGGCAGACATTCCAGTGACATATTAAATCCATCTGTTCTTTAAGATTCAGGGTGGTGATTGAAACTTAGCACATCTGCAAGATTTTGTGACCATCGAACTGAATTCTAAGAATCACTGGATTTTTGGAAGAAAATATGCAATGCAGCAAAAGAAATATTCTTGTGACACTCACACAGTGCTTGCTCTGGGCCAGGAATATTCTATGCCCTTTACAAATGCTAATCTTTCAATTCTCCAACCCCATCCAGTAGGTATTGTTAATAACCATGATAGATCAGACAACCAAGGCACAGAGGGCTGAAGTACCTGCGCAGGTACTCCTGAGCAGAACCCTGTGCTTTCCTGCCACCACCACGATATACTTCTGCATGAAATGTGTATCTGTCCTTCCAGCTGGCTGCCTGGTTGTAGATCTGGGTCCGGCCCCACAGCCAGCCCCCATTCTCAGCACCTTTCAAACTAGGATCCAGCTGAAGAGGAGCTGAGAAACATTCCTTGTGGTAAAGTCTCTCCGCCTTTGTAGGCTGTGGTTACACAGTTCGCAGCAGTGGAAAGAAGTGTGCTGCCTGCTCTGGCGACTAGGATCATGGCTTCTTTCTGGGTTCCAGTGAGCATGAGTAAGCAGAGGGACAGTGTTATAGGAATTAGAGCTTTCATGTTGCAGCTCTCCTGACATTTTCTCAATGACCATAGAATCATAGTAATAAAACCTAAAAGACCTTAGAATTCATTTCAGTGAATTCTTTCCTTTTACAGACATGACATGATTCCTTGAGGCATCTGAATGGCTGAGCCGAGCCTGGAATCCAGACTTCTGGAGTCCCCTATTCCACTGCCTTACACTTCTGAACCTGGCTTTGCCTCTGCCTTGTGGTCATGGAAAGTTCTAGCGACTTTTCTTTATTAAAGGGTTCATTGAGGCAATGTCTAGAAAAATGCATGGCCCTTCTTGGAAGACACACCTGCCAACCTCTACATTTCTCATGAGAAATGGGTTCTAGTGAACCAACGACTGTGTCTGCTCCATGCTATGTGGTCAGTAGTGGCGAAGCAAAGGGACATTTGGTGTTATTGAGTGCTTCCTAGGCACCAGGCACTGCACTGATGTGCTTTCCAGCATTGTCATATTAGTCTTCCAAACAACCCAACCTTCTTTGGTTGGAATGGAAATTAAGTAACCTGTCCAGGATTTCACACTTAATAGCAGGTGGGACTGAGATTTCCATCCAAGACACTTTGATTCCAGAATTCCTGCTCCCATGTCCTCGGCTTAATGTCTCCTGGTGGATATTGGTTTCCTAGAGCATCTGAAAGCAGAGAATCTACAGAGAGGCCATTCCACACTCTTGGGTATCATTCCAAAAAGACAGAATGAATGCAGAACAAATCAATTTGTGCACTGCTTTTCCTGCACCTCTCTTGGAGCCTTGTTTTAATTCTGCCTGAATCTTGGTAACCCACCCATTGCCCTGCCCATGTTCAAACCTCTCTGTATTTGACTCAGTGTTCTGACAATGACGCCATTTATTCTTCTTGAATGAGTGAAATATTTCAGGAATGTGTACTGTGCAACTTCAAAGTCATCCCAGACCACCACACCTTAACTTCCAAGAAGTTACTCCTCACGCTGATGGAACCCCTCTCTAAGAGTGTCCTTTTCCATGGATTTGGGGGAACTCTTTGGTTCCTGTCTAGGTTAACAAGTTTGAAGATGCAGAGATCTCTAAACTGTGCAGGTGCATACACAAGTATTTTTTTTCAATAAACACTGTAGATATATTTTCTCCTCTTTATGTTTTCTTAATAACATTTCCTTTTCTCTAGCTTACTTATTATAAGACTACAGTATAGAACACTTATACAAAATATGTGTTAATCCACTGTTTATGTTATTGGTGAAGCTTCTGGTCAACAGTAGGCTATGAGTAGTTAAGTTTAGGGAGAGTCAAATGTGATATGTGGATTTTCAATTACATGGCGTGGTGTTGGTGTCCCTAATCCCTACACTGTTCAAGGGTGAACTGTACTTTCCCCTGGTTCAGCCATGTCACTATTACTCCTAGTGTCCTAGAATCAGAAGACCTGAAGAGATCATGTACTTCAACCTCCTCTTTTTATGGGAGGAAACCATATTCCAGAGAGGAAGACCAATTGGCCCACAGTCACGCTGAAAAGTCTACTGACTTTCCTGAGTATTTCAACAGGCTTCGGAGTGTGTCAAGCTATGTCCCTGCTCCAGAGAGAAATCATCATTTTCCAGAAGTGATTTGGTCACTGCAAGTGTCAGACAATACACATATGAGGGTGAAAGGGACTGAATCAGAAGTGAAAGTCTCTGGCAGGTGGTAGCCGTCTCCCTCCCTCTTCTGCTCCCCTCAGGACTAAAAGGGCAATCACAGCGTATCAGAAATGAGTTGGAAATTCCCACTGTGAGGCAGCTTTGGAAGTTCCCAAATCCCTGTTAGCTTGCCAAGTTCACATTCCATAGGCTAGCCTGGAGCCAGGAGAGCTCACATGGTGTGGATTGGGCCATTGCTGGGGTGGTAAAAGGGAAAAAGGCCCTGGGAAGGGGCATAGAGGGGAGGCAGTGTCAAGGATTTGCTGTTCCTCAGAATCCCCGATCCCCCTGGGACCCCCTCCCCATTAAGTCATGGATGAGAAATGGAAAAGTTTCTCTTGGTGAACAATCCTTTCTTCCTCCCTCCCAGTGAACCAACCCCCCGCCCCCACCAAACTGGCATCTTCCATGTGGGCCTTTGTCATCGCCCAAGACTCCCACTCAGTGTCAGGGGTAAAGGAAAGAGGAACTGAAAGTGAGCTTTCTAGAAATATCAGAAGCTAACACCCCAGCCCCCTGTCCTGGCCCCTTCTGCTCCCCCTCACCTGTGCTTGCTGGGGCTTTGAGTGGGGCCCATCAAGTCTTTCCATACCACCCCCACCCCAGGCCTCTCTTCCAGCCCATACTTCTTTTCTCCTCCAGGCTAGCTCAAAGCTCCAGGAAGACCAATGCCTATTTCCCCAACTCTGCAATCCTTTTCTTTTCAAGGACTGGAAATCCATTCATTATTCTTACACAGAATGTCAGAGATGAACAAGACCTTAGAGATCATCTTCCTGTTTTGCTGATGGGGAAACTGAGGCCAAGAAAGAGTCCCTGACAGGCCCTAGGTGACCTGAAGACACACAGCAGAGCTTGAAGAAGTTGGTTCACTTCTAGGTTCTCAGGGTCACGCTCTGTCTGATGTGCTGCACTAGCTGCTTTTTGTAACACTCATACAGTCAGCATCTGCCCTGTGCAGAGACCAAGGTAGGGGCCTGGGGTGGGGGAGAGAACCAGATGGGAAATTTGCTTTCCAGAAGAGATGATAAAGAAGGCTCCCGTGGGAAGTAGGGCTGAGTTTATGAGTAAACCTGAGCAGTGCTCAGCCTAGTCTTCTTGGCATTTCCTGTGTTCTGGGTAGATCAGCCCCAGGTCTGTTTGAAGTAGCCAAGGATATGGGAGGGGGCAGTGGTGGGAATTGCCTATGGGAAGAGAAAGGGAAGGTTCACTGCAATGGCCTAGTTGGTTGGGGGTGGGCAGTGGTGTCTTGACTAAGTGGGGGCCTGTCACTTAGGCTGTCTTCTGGCCCAACAGTCATGGGCCAGCACCTGAGCCCTATGCTGAGGGGGCTGCTGTGGGTGAGGGGGTCAAATCTAAGTATGCTGCTAGGATAACGGTGGTGTAACTACACTCGAGAGCTCTCTTGGTAGACTAACCAAGTGTAGCACTGAGGCAGAGAAGCCATGCTGGGGCTTGCGCTGCCCGAGGTGGCCTGAGAGGTGTGCTGAGGGGGTCAAGGGGACTGGTGAGCACAGCTGGGTTTCCCCATGAAGGTGCTAAACTGCGGGAGCCTTAGGGAAACAGAGGTCCTGAGGAGAAGGTGGTGGCTGACAGAGAAACACTGCCTGGATGGCCTTTCATTGAATCCTCGTTTTAACAGCTGTGCTGAGGGCACCGGAGGGGGGCACCTGACACAGAGTCACAGCAGTAGCCAGAGAGATGCAGAGCTGTGAGAGGCCTAGCTGAGGGCTCAGGGAAGCTCTCGTGCTGGTGGTACATGGAAGACGGGCTCAAGGATTGGCAGATTTTGAGCCCTGGGTGATTATTGGATGGGGGAGGGCTGCACGGTGGCACAAACTGAGAGAGACTGAAAATTTGAAGTGCTTAGACATCCCCTTGAGCTTGTTAAAGTATAAATTTTGATTCCACAGGTCTTGGGTAGACCTGACAGCTTGCATTTCTGGTCCAGGGTCCCCTTAGAACATCCTGAAAAGGGCTCAGGGTGGGAGAGCTGGTCGGGTGTGGAAAACAGTGAACAGTTCATTTTTTCTAGACTGGGGTTCTTGTCTGTGGCTCTTGGCTCAAAACCATCTGAGATTACCTTCCACATTTCCATGATTGTGGATTTTTCTGCAGAGTGGGTGCAATGCTTCCATCAGATGAACAAAGGCATCTGTAACCTCTAAGTAGTCAGTGCCATTCAACCCATCAGCCACAGAGGGCTCTGGTCTCTAGCCTGCCAGTGTGAGTTTAGGC